TAATCAACTGCCCCCCTTCCCGATACCGCGACGTTGGCATCACCGTGAGAGGTTATCTGTCAGTGCTGCACGGGGAATCATCTATTCGTGAAATTAAAACATTTTTTTTAATGACATTTTTCTGATCATCAATTTTAAGAAGGGCCCCTTGCGGAATACCGCACCGGGGCCCCGACCTCATCGCTACGGCCCTGGACCGATATGATTCCAAGAACCAAACCGCTTGCAACAGTGTTTTCATCAATCTGGTACATTTGGCTACATTTGTCATATTCAATTTTTTTTAAGTGTTATTCATACATTGAAAACCGATATTTTCTATTAAAAAACCGGTTTTCGAATTTTATAATTTTTTCCAAAAAACCGGTTTTTAAAAACCGATAAACCCTAGTACGGTCCTTTTAGCTGACCTAAAAACCCAAATAAGTCTTACATCACTAATCATTTGCCTTTATAACTGCAGAAAGGAATTCTAATAAATGTTGGCCCTACTACACACAACATAATAAATCTCTTCTCTTTCACTAATGTGTATTTATGTGCACCTTTCTGAAAAAAATATATATGTACTTATGTATGTGTGTTTGTATGAAAGCGGTTGGTCTCAAGACATTAGTACAGATCTTTTTCGACTAATGTTACAAGCTAAACCTTTTTTCACTTAAAAAGGAAAACGTATGGACGAAATGCGTCGGGAAAAGTTGAAAAGAATAACGCGTGCAATAGACGAAAGCGACCGCTACATAAACGTCAATGAATAAAATAGAGAGGCAGATTAATGTTAAATTGCACGATTGCGATACGCAGAGTTAAATGGAAAGGTCGTGTTTTTATCCCTCACGAGCGGGATATTAATCATACTTATGTGTACTCACCGTTAGCAACAGGTGGAGAGTTATAATCCAGGTTACTTCTACCAAAGAATGCCTGCAAAAAATCACGAAGTCAAAAAAAGCGAAAATATGGAATTACAACAAAAAAACACAATATCAAAACGTCAAAATTTTAGGCTTTTTCTGTGTATTTTCCAAAAATTTTCTTTCATGCAAGCCTTGTCCTGTCAATTACAAATACAACTAAAAAACAATCAGTCAAATCGGTTGTTAAGCCCCGTTCTCAAGTGAAGCTCCGTCATACACTTTTCCTTAACTAGGAACAGTTTCAATGTTATAAAAAAAATTGGTTTGTCTTTTTTCTGGGCAATTTTTCTCTTCATAAGAACCTTCCTCGGACTTCAAGGAATATTTCAAAAAAAAAATGTTATCGAAATTGCAACAGCTGTTCTCGAATTTTGCGCTTAGCAACACATTTAGCGATCCATTTTTATATAGATTGACTAAGGACTACCTCAGGGAACTATATTAGGCCCCTTATTATTCTCGGTATACATTAACTCGCTAATGTTACAACTTGATAATGTCATTACTTTTGCTGATGATTCGGTATTGATACGTGATATGGATACTTGGGACGAAGTACATGCGATGTTGGAGGAGAATATCAGGGTTGTGAATTTTTGCATATATCTTACAAAAAGAAGTTCATGCACTAGATACCTGGGCGTTTAAATGGATTGTCATTTTTCATAGCAGTCACATTAACTCCATCATCAAAAGAATAAAATATGTTCTTTAGGTTTAGTTTAGCAATGCTGATGGATTAATACTAGGGACTAGTGCCCAGGGCGGTAAATTCGGAGAGGCGGCGAAATTCGGGACTTAAGAAAAATTGTTTTGCGTTGTCAAAAATGTTTAAAAAAGCTCATTTACAAATTAATTGTACGCGCTGCGAAATACTCAAGTTGCTATTTTCCAAATATACCTTTTAAATGAATGAACTGGTTGAGGTATGATCCACAGCGTTTGTTAACCTTTGTANCCACTCCCATAACTTTGTCAAAACTCGTTAAATTGTAGTTATCAGAGTTTTTTTCTTTGTATACACCTCATGATTCGAGAAACACCATAGGATTATTCACTAATGTTAGTTACGACTTAAACTCACCCCACTTCACCATATCTGCAATCACACACACTTTTTGGTCATCAATATTTTTCCTGGAACTTGAAAACTCTTGTACCTTGCAGTTTTTTTGGAGCTTTATGATTTTAGTGCCCAGTGAGTTGCATCTTCGAAAATCTACGATTCTGTTCTGAGTTAGTTCTTCTAAAACTCCATAATTCTGGTTCTCAATGGTTTTCCTGAAACTTGAAAGCTTCTGTTCCCTGTAGTTTTTTCTGGAATTCGACGATTTTAGTGTCCAGGGGTATCTTCGAATGTTAACAATTTTGTTTTCATCTGATTCTTCTGGAACTGGACGATTCTGACTATCGATAGTTTTCCTGAAACTTGAAGACTATTGTTTCCTGTAGTTTTCCTTATCTTCAGGATTTCAGTGTCCAGTAATGTCTTTGAAAGTAGACCATTTTGATTTCAGTTGGATCTTGTGTAACTCGATTTTTTCTCAACAGTTTTCCTGTAATTTGAACACTCTTATTCCCTGTAGTTTTCTAGAACTTGACGATTGTAATGGTTTTCTTGGAACTAGCCGATTCTATTTCGTAATAGTTTCCCTAGAACTTGGAAATTCTTGTTCCATCTGGGTTCTAATATTTTCCTTGAAACTAGAAAATGGTTTCCGGCTCTAATTCAGATCCTGGGGTACACCCATGTGAACAATAAAATATTGATAGTTATTTATTAAGTAGTTAGTTTTTATTGTTGGATTAATTTTTAGCTTTCTTTTTCAGTCGCGCAATTCTAGAATTACATAGAAGCGAGGGTATCCACGATCTCGGCGAAGTCAAATGGGACCTGGCACTTTGTTTGTTGGCAGTGTACATCATTTGCTATTTTTCTTTATGGAAAGGCATATCGACTTCAGGCAAAGTTGTTTGGTTTACGGCACTTTTTCCTTACGCAGTTTTGTTGGTATTGTTAGTAAGGGGTGCTACTTTACCTGGATCAGCCGATGGTGTCAAATATTACTTGTACCCCAACTTTTCCGTTATTACAAAGGCAGACGTAAGTTTGTTAGTTGTACTTTAATTTCAATTTTTGCTTCAGAAAAGTTTATCGGAAGTACAATCTTTGAAAAATGTGATAAATCTTGTTTGTGTCAATTTAGGACTTTAAGTGTGCTTTGCCAAGAAGCAGTGGCCTTCACAAATAGGCAAAAGCTGTTCATCGAAAAGTTAAAAAAAAACTGAATTAAGATCAGAAAAATGTACAGAATGTAGACTTGACCAACTCGTACTGAAACAGACAAACAGTTGAGGGTCTTGAGGTCTCGGCAATATTGCACCTAATAAATTTTTTCTGTAAAAGAAAGGTTCTCCCACTTTTATAGATTGCAACTAACAAAAATATAGTTCATCATCATAAGGTCGTCAGTCCTAAGACTGGTTGGGCACGTACCTCCACTCTTTCCTATCCTGAGCTAAACTTCGCATTTCCCTAAAATTAGAACAACCCACATCCTTAACTATTTGCGAACAGTAATCTAACCTAGGTCTACCTCTACCCCTTCTAACTCCTGCTTCTGCCTCTAATATGTCTCTGACTAGACCTTCATGCCTGAGAAAGTGTCCTACCAATCTCGCCTATTTTTTATTGACTTCTATAGAGTCCTATTTCTCCTATTCTTTCTAATGTCTTTTCATTTCTAACCTTCTCTAACCACGGTATGCTCATCATTCGCCTGTAACACCACATTTCGAACGCTTCTAACCTTTTCTTTTTCACCGCTCCCACTGTCCATGTTTCGCACCCGTACAACGCCGTGCTCCAAACATACACCTTTAACAACCATTTTCGAATTTCTAAATTAACCGAGCGTAGAAGTGACTTCTTTTTGTTAAGGGCGACACGACCCTGCGCTATCCTCTGCTTTATATCCCTACTACTTCCATCCTGACTTATCTGACTTCCTAGATATCTAAAAATTGGCAAAGTCCGCAATAAATTATCTGTGAGAAGGATTTAAATTAGGAAATGCTTAATAAGTAGTGCAGACAAAATGAAAAGAGATAACCGGATAATAGTAAGCGGTGCTTGTCTGCATCTCTTTCTGTTGCACATTAATTGGTGTAATGTTATTCCTTTTTCTTTATTCCGCAACAATTCCTACTTGACAACTCTTTTCTATGTTTGCGATATTCCCTACAACGTCTGTCGTAAGTAAAGGTAGGCGTTCCGTCAGCAACCGCTCTAGTCTAGTTAGTAAATCGAACGAAGAAAGTAAATGCAACAGTTTTATTGCGGACTAAGCCAATTTTGAACGCCCTAACTATACCTCACATTGCATTTAAAAAATGTGTAGGTATTTTTTTGTGAAATTAAGGTTGCTTTAAGTGAACGCGAACAGCAAACAAAATAAGCGTAAAATTCTGTCAAACGTACGGATGAAAC